GTCCTGCCTGCTCCGGCTGTTGCAGTGCCTCCTCAAGCCAAGACAGCAGCATGTTCAGCCCTGCCTCAGGGCTGGGCCACATCCTGTGTGGCCTCAGCACCACAGGCGGGAGGGGGAAAGAGGCCACTCCATTGGGACCAGACTCCCTCCCGCTCCCTTCAGGGCAAGCTGGGGAGGGCCTAGCTGGCAGCATGGAGGAGACTTCCAGGTCTGGGTTGCGATGGCACAAGTGGGTTTCTTGGGCTAAATTAGCAATACAAAGAATAAACATGCAAAGTATTTTTGAAACCTCCAAACAGTGCTGTTTTCATGAATTATATCATTAATTTTCAGTTTTTTTCTACCTGTTTGTGTGACCCCCAAAAGAGTCACCTTTAGTGCCAGTATTCTTTTTCCAGGAATACCTTTTGTTTCCAGAAACCTGTTCCATTGTCTATGGTATTCCCTAACAATAGACATAGATTGTTTCCTAAACATAGATAGGTTAGGTTAGGGCATAGCTGGTTTCCTAAATATAGATAGATAGGTTTCCTAACCATCGATTTTCTTTTTAGTAATTTGAATAGTTGATGAAAGACTGAAGATAGAGAGAAATGTATTATCACCTTATCTTTCCTTACAGTGGCAGTCTTGTAACTGGTTCAGGCATTTGGTAATGATTTAAATAAGGTGAGATCATCTGCCCAACGTTGGTCTAATTTATTTTCAGGGTAGGAATTGGTCTTGATCCTGTAAGATGTTGAACTCAGTGCTTGTAACTCCAATTGAAGTTGCTGGAAAGGAAGATTGTTCAGCACTTTATAAAAAGTGACCAACACTTGACAAGATTATGCTGCATTTGAAAGCTTGCCTAAATGTATCCCAACTATGCAACTGGTCCAATAAAAAATACCACCGACAGAAAGTCCTTGCCTCTCCTTAAAATTGTTTGTAGCAAACAAGTTGTTAAACGGAGGGCTGGAACACAGTATATTTTCACATATTAAGACAAATCATTCCACTAAATTAGATACTTTCTCACTTTTAGGACAATTGATGGTGTCACATATCCTGGGAACATAAAAGAAAAAGAGGTTGCAAAAAAGCAATATGAGAAGGCTGTTTCAAAAGGACAGACTGCAGGCCTTGTCAAGTAAGCATATTGCTTTACAATGGGTTTTTAATTTTTTTTTGTTTCTTTATTGTATCATGTAGGTAAAGCTGAGAATAGTAATGTATTTTTAGCATATATTAAAAGTTTGAACTTTATGAGGGGAGGACAGACAACTTCTGATTATTCAAGCCATATTTATAATTGTGAAAAGTAGAGGTGCACCAATACAGCAATCCCATATTGGATCAGGACTGATATAGGGAAAATTGACAGTATTGGAAATAGGCTTTTTTTGCCAGATGTGGCTGATAATGTGTCTGATAAATGCCCCATACGTGTGCACAGCCGCAGCATGCATGCAGCCAGGAGCGCAGCCTGGTGGCTTGGAGAACAGCATTTGGCTGGTAAGACTGTTGTGGGGGAAGAAGTGGGGGGAGGGAAGGGGAATGGGAGGGGGCAGATCAAGGCCCCCACAGTGAGGGAGGAAGTAGGGCTGGGGTAGGTGCTACTCAGCTGGGGTGGGGTGGGGCAGGTTGT